GTCAAAAGACTTACCTTTCTTTTCAAATCATTCTTTATATTTCATGTAATCTTTCTAAAAGTGTTTAATACATAAATAACACTTTTGCATTATTACATTCCTTTCTTTTGGTAGATTAACCTAAATTTTTTAATTTTGGGTATTGCTCACTTAATGCCTTTTCAGGCTTATTCCAAAATTAACATAATGATTATCATACTGTTTAAACCTAGTCTACTCCTAAATTACCATAATAGTCAATTATTTCACTTTTCACTTGTCTTAATAGTATTAATTCGAAATGACCCATAATGAGTAAACAATAAATTGAGAATAAATTGAATGAGAAAATTCTCATCTACAATCATCCTAAGGCTCTCAATTTTGTAGCAATATTGGTCATCTCAAAATTATGTTCATACATGGTACTAGTACCAACAAAAAAAAAAAAAAATGCATAGTAGTGATATCAATCAATAATTTTCGTTTTTAAATATTTATCTACAATACGAAAATATTCTTATAGTCAAATATTCCTTAGCAGTATTACTATGGGGAACAATTATTCGCATAACCATAATGTTTAATCTGCTCGATCTTTCCCAGGCTTTATAGAGTATTTTTTCTTCTTCACTGTCTTTAATAGTAATAACAGTAGGTTTCTCAATTTAAAATGCTAAATCATGTTTTAGCACTTCTAAATTTTGAACTTAACTTACTCATTCCATTATGAGAAGTTAGTCCTATTGAAAATCAGAATAGATGTAGCATGCAAATTAAATGATGCAATAAAACAAACATAATAAGATAAAATGCTCACAATAATAATGTTTTGAGTTAACAACACGTATATATAAATAACTTAAAATATAAATACAATGTATAACTATAATACCCCTTTGGGTGGCAACTATAAAATACTAATAATGATGCTTACATGTATTTATATGTATACCTTCATTGGTGATGCATTATTTAATTAAACAGATAAATTACCTTTGGATATCATATATCTACCCAATTAAAAAATATATGCAATCCCTAAATATTCATTTAATCGCTTGAAAATTAATTCCCTTTGAGGAATTATTTTTTATAATTAAATAAACTCAATATTCATAAACATCACAAGAAATCATAAGTATCATAATTCATGAAATATTGCAATTATGTCTATTACTAAAATTAATATCCATCAACCATTATGGTCGGGCCACTTTGGTAGCTACCAACCTTTACATAATATGAATATTAAATTAGTTAGTAACTAATTCATCACTAATTATATCTACTACAAAAATTAATATTCATCAATTATTATGATTGGGCCACTTTGGTAGCTACCAATCTTCACGTAATATGAATATTAAATTAGATACTGATTAATTCATTATTAAGTTACCCATTTAACATTATACACACATACTCATACTAATCGATCCAAATTTAGATAGGTTCGATTCCATAAACTTAATAGTCAAAAAATTCAATAAAAATATTATTTTACGTTATCTACTAATAAAACATATTATTTTTATTTTCGAACTTAAATATTATAATTGAATCAATTTAAAATTGATTCTCAAATATGTATGTATGTATGGGTACAAAACAATAATTATTTGCATGTCCAATAATATTAAATTAAATTTTTAGACGCACACATTATTTTAAAAATTAAATTTCTATTAAAATAAATAAATACACTTACTTTATTTATTTAATAATTTATTTTATATATATATATATAACACTGAGTTCCATAACAACACTTTTCAATCATATCGTGCACAAAAATCAAGAACATAATCTTTGTCTTTTTAGCATATCAGTACATTGTTTTTGTAAAAGCATTTGAAAAGTTATAAAACCTTATTTGAATGACATAGAATTGTAGTCTCAAATTGTCCCAAGAGTCTACTGATTAGAAGATGAGGTATAATTTTGGATCATGATTGTATAATACGGTAATACATAACAAAACACATATTGTGCGTGTCAATAAATATGCAGATTCCAAAAATAAGAAAATTATATTATTTTATTTTACACATATTATTTATGCAAGGTTAGTGGAAAATAATGAATTCCTAAACCATAAACTCTGATATTACGTGTAAACTATAATTATTCATGTCAAACATTAATCACAAATAAACATGAATTTTATATCTTAGAACTTCATGATTTTTACATATCTATAATGCATAAATAAATATTTAGATATAAATATATCGATTTGTAATTGTAAAACTCGAAGAGATCAAGGCAATCGTTGAGATCTTTTCTACGGAATGAACAACATGCTAAACTGCAATAGTTAAAACTTGGAAACCGATTTTTCTCTCTTGACCTTTTGCACACATAAATATTATACGTATTGTTTTCATTAGCGTACATAATTAATGGGATATATGTACTTTTATAAAAGTAGAGAGAGTATCAGTTTTCCTTTTTAGTAACCTTGATTCTACTTTCCATCAAAGTAAGAAATAAACAGGAAAAAACTTCTTCAATAATTAATTATAAGTTGACCAAATAATATAATTTTAATCTAATATCTATTTACTTAATTACTAATTAATAAAATATATCACATGTTCAAATGATGTGGGTCACATAATTAATAAATAATCTTACACTTATTAGTGCTTATAGGAAGATCTAACCTAGCAATATCGACATTGATAATTCAAATCCCTATGGAGAAAATGTCGGTGCAAGAGTTATTTATTAGAACCTAAAAAAAAAGTTCCTACTTTTTGGACAGAAGGGGCAGCGTTTGGTGTAACAAGTCCAGCGACTTTGGTAAAGCTAGTAAATGCCATCGATGTCATTTATTGTTTGGTTGGGAGGAGGAAGAGGGGAGAATAATGATAACTACCAAAATTTATTTTAATTTACATTTTAAATTAACCCTACCATCTTAAACTACATTAGCAACTTTTGGATAGTTTTTGGAAAGCAACAGTATATCATTGAGCGTTGGATATTTTATGCAAAAAGCAATTCAGGTACCTTTCATTTTAAAAAAATGAACCAGACTTACTGGGCTAATATAAGTTTGTAAAAAGAATTATATTGGATTTAAAAAAAAAAAAAATTATGAATTCTATAGATTACTTGATAAAAAAAATTATTATAAAATAATTTGCACAAAGTTTTACTTTAAACCCAATATGAGGATACATTGGTAAAAATAACATAAAAATTATTTCTCGTCTTTCCAACCAAACACATAAAAAGGTGTTATCCCATCACACATTTTCTCTTATACAATCCATCCAACTAAACAAAAAGTGAGGGAGACAACTTTTCTTCCTTAAAATGCCTCATCCATCCACTCACCTCTCCTTTCCATTCATTTTTTCATCCTTCCAATCAAACGGAGCACAAGTAATTTACTACTCCAACGTTTTGAATGGTTGAAGATCACGCTAACCCAAAGAAATTATTAGATGTTCAGTTTTTTTGTAATATCTTATTAATCTATGGTGTATTCACCTTTTTAAGTTGGAACGTGAAATTATGTTCGAGAGGTATGATGCAATAAAAAAATTTGAGGCAGGACAATTTTAAAAATTTAAAGAATTATACATATAAAAATGAAATTTTTTAAAAGTTGAGGGAGCAATTTTAAAAAATTTTAAACTATAGATACAAAAATGTAATTTGTTAAAAGTTGTGGGGGAGGGGGATAATTTCTTGCCAACCTAAAGTAATTTAAATATATTTTCTTTACCTATGCTGATCATTCATGTATCCATGGCCGTACTTCTTTTCCAGCCAAACCTAACTGGATTCGAATGGGGAAGAAAATGATTATATACGGACTGGTAGTTACTTATTAGTCCCACCTAACAGTTTAAACTTTTAGGTCAGATTGCGAAAGAGACAGTTAATATCAAAGACAGACCTACTCCTTGATCCAGAATTACGTCAAGTGCCCGGCAACCGCAATGACAGTTGTTACGAGTTTGGATGAGAGAAAATGTCACAAGAGATATACATATGCCTGCTCTGATGACAATGGACTGGTCGATCAACCAGCGAGGGGCATAGAAACATGGAGATAAGAGAGCAAGTTGGCATGGGGGCAAAGGCAACAAATTCCGGAGCAAAGCAAGTCCTAAAAATCTGGCGGGGGTCAAAAAATTTAGAGCACAAAGAAATAGACTGCACTCTTTTCTTTTTATAAACCCACTGCTCTGCCCAATTCAATTGTATCCAATCCAATCCAAAATTTCTACCAGGACTCGAATCTGGCATAGTTTTAATCCAAATTTAATCTATCATGCTTCGCAACTAAAAAATGGAAGATGAAGAGGACAGTGGAAGAAAAGATCGAAAAAAAAGAAAAAAGATGAGGACGATAGCACGATAACAAAAACCCTAAGATTGGTTCTGGCATGAAGAAAAGTAAAGCTTAGGCCTGCACATGGAGGTGGGGCAGGGGATAAAATGTCTCAACTTTCAGCACATGGGGAACTTCTTCTGTGATATGAAATGAGTCGATAAAGCATAAACCAAAGCATAAATCAGATTTCTAAAATGTCTCCACTTTCATTTAAGAATAAAGTTTTAGGAACACAAGATGTAGGGACTACACACGAACATCATTTCCAGCAGGACCATATCATAGACTTTTCAAACTGGAGGGGCTTACAGTCGCTATCAGTCGTACAATGTGTGTGTGTGAGAGAGAGCCACCGACACGAAACAATAATAATATTAAAGTTTATACACCAGTCATTCTTCTCCAAAGAGGGCAGATAAGTGGATGATTAGAAGGGTGATTAAGATTAAAGTGTTAAATCATTTAGCAAACACTGTGCAAAAAGATCAATACGCATTGAGCAATCATTATAGCTGTATCATTAAAATAGTACCAAAATGCTGCCCACCTTTTCCAAACAATAATAATAATCTTATAAGAGTGGTCCAGTATGTCTATTTAGTACACATTTTTTAGTAATACTTTCCAAAAGCAAAAATTTAAAGATAAATGAAATCACAGAGCATCACTTTAATAGAACATCTCATTAATGGGAATCCTTGATATTGAACATCAATAATTGGAGTTACTGAGTACTTGTTATATCCCAATATACGGTAACGTAATGACAATGATACCTAAGCTAATATCATATTATCACTACATGATTAAAGAAAATTTTGAGTACATTTAATGAATCCAGAAGGCAGGACTACAGAAGAATGTAAATGTCTGCTAAAAAAATGCTCCGTTGAAGAGAAAAATGTGTGCTACCAATCTCAAAAGGGAAGCGTATACAAGAGTAAGCATAGCTTCCAAGATATTAATACCTTATGGATAGTGTAATAATGAAGGGAAGTACCATTTTTGTTCTTTTGGATCGGATCATATACCCTCCGATATATTTGCTTGATCAGTAAGGCGTCAATCGCTGCAATTGAGTTGACAATCACAAGTCTCTTATACTGAAATACTGACAAGCCAAAATCATTAAGCTCGCTATAAATCCGCTTTGCATGAGATTGCAGATACCTGGAAGTTTTTCTGTAAATCTGGAACCCTGCAATTCATGCACCGGTTCCATTTGCAGAAATTTCCTTCACGTAAAGTGGTTTTCTCACACCCAGCTCCCTTAGCCGATCGATCATACCATAAAGAAATTCAAAAGTTAGTATGGATTGTCCATTAAGATCCTCTCTTACATGTGGTTGGATCTTGAACCAATCTCCCAACATCTTGTGCACATGAGAACGGATCATTCTCCATGGTACAGGATATTTTTCACAAAGCTTCAAATATTCTACCAATAAATCAGCCTGGTCTAATATTCCATCCTCGTTGCTTTCTTCACTGCCTTGAACCCACTCAGCAGTTTGAAATCCAGCAAAAAGAGCCGGATTCTCCAGGAGAGACTCTGCTGAAAGCACCCCATCGGCTCCTGTCTCTTCCAAACAACTCTGGACATCACCCACATGTCGTATATTTCCATTAGCAAGGACTGGGATTCTGACAGCATTTCTAACAGCATTGATGGAACTCCAATTGGCTCTGACTTTTTTACCATCTTTTTCATCTCTTGTTCGGCCATGGACAGCTAAAAGAGAGCAGCCAGCATCCTCCAGCATTCTAGCATAATTTATTGTATCCTGTAAATTTGGGAAAAGTCGAATTTTGCAAGAGACGGGGACATTAAGGTTGAGAGCCAGTTTTTCTACTAGGGACTTGACAAGAGGAAGATTATCCATTAGGAAAGCTCCATAGTTCCCCCGCCGAGCAATGCGCTGAGGACACCTACACATAAAGTACATATGTAAAACATATAAAGCTATTAAAATCACCATGTCAAAAGTGCTTGAAGAAATGAGTGCACATGAACAGAAATTGATAAAAGCCCATTGAGATGCACCATGCATGTGACAGGGAAAACAAAATCCAAGAGCATCAGAGAACTATCATTCTTGTACAGTGTAGGTGATGGTTGATACCTTGTGAATACAGAACGGCATAGAAGTATTATTAACAGCACAGGCTAAATGCAAATCAGTAATTGCCAGTCATTGACTTGTCCAGAAAAATCTAATATCTTCAGTTTTTGTGAAACTAAGTCGGTGCATCTTGTCTATTGATATTACTTTCATGTCAAGGGTGCAAAAATGCGGAAATATTGATAAAGATATTTGAATATCAATAGATTTTTTGCGGGAATGGGAAGTGTGAAATGCGTAACAAGATTTTTTTCATGAATCTTTAAGAAATAAAGACAGAAATTTACAGCCAAAACATTATAAATTAAATGCGTGCATGATAAGCATCTGCTGTGTCAAGTGAAAAAAATTTGTGTTCGCAAAGCATACATGGAATGATCAATACAACCCATTCAATAACCACTTACTAGTTTAATATTATGATAGTTATATAAACGAAAGACGTGTGTTTAGTATAGTTATCAGAAAAAAACTCACATTTAGTATCATTTAGATTATCTTAATAACTATTGATAATGAATTGATGTATTAATCAATATTTTCATTGCAAAGTGAGGCATATCTTAACACATAAAACAATACAACCACTAGACAAAGTTAGATATGTTGGCACTTGGCAGAGATCTAGAGCTCTCATCAATATTTAAAACAATGGTATAGAGAAAAAACAAGATTTTTTTTGGGTCAAAGATACACATGAGACTCGGAAAAAATTAACTTGTGCTCATTCAAAGATTATCTTTTTCCTTTTGAGACTATAGCAAGCTTTTGGTTTTGTATTTGAGATACTAAATCAATTCATAAGTTCAACTTGATTCCACAGTCACGAGTTTTTAATCATTTTCCCATATTTGACAGGAAATTTACCTTTAAACTCCTACAATAGACCTTTTCAAAAATTTTGCAACGTTTGGCCAAATTACTGAAGGGTAAATTGCACTAAGACCCCTTCACGAACGCATATTGGGCACACGGATCCTCGTGGTATCAAAAAATATAGGCGCGCCCCCTGACATAAATGTTTCGTATCACTTCAATCCAAACGTGATAGTCAACAGTTTGACCTTTAGAAATCATTGACATTGACAGTATATTTGTTTGGAAGGTCCATTTTGCCCTTCAAACATGCAAAACAACTTAATAGTCCTAAAACATTCCTCCATAAGACCGAAAAAAAAAAAAACTCATTTGCCCATCTCCATTTTCTTTATAAACTAGCATTTTGACACTAAGAAAATTATGATGAAGAGGCTAAGGGTGGACGGTGAAAGAGAAATTTTTTTGAAGAAATGGTAAACAGAATCATTTACGCCTTTTTTCTTTTTTTTAACAAATTATAAATCTCATTCCTTCTTCTTACAAATCTCACTCAACATTCACTAATTATTTTTTTAAAAAAAAAATTATGACCGTTTTGTAGTACGGTATCCACTGATTCTTTAAATTTATGTTTTTTTGTTTGTTTTCTTCTGCTTTTTTCCCCAACCGTTTTCGATTTGGGAATTATATTGTTAAATTTCTTGATCCCTTGTATAGGTGTCTAATCATTTGTCACATGCAACCTTCCACAACAGCCTTACCCATCACTTCTAACAATGTAACTGTGCCTGATTCTACTCTAGACTGCGAGGTACCACCAACTTCATTCCCATCACTCTTCTTACTCTTTATGTATATGTGTGCATCATTAAGACATGAATCAGTTATCATATGATCACTAGATTTTATATAGGATTTATTAAAATGAAAAAATCATGAAAATTATACTCATTTAGTGAACATAAGAAATTGAAGATGAACTCAATACAAGATTCAATACAGAGCACCATAGGAAACGCAATCCACGTGAATACATTTATATAAGAGAAGGATCCCCATGAAACTAAATTATAGTTTCATTTCATATACCCCAAATTCACAGTTTCATAAAACAAAAGCTCAAGATTTATGTTCCATTCAAAAGTTGTGCCCAAGTCCTCAGCCGAGAGACCCAAGCGATGAAAATGAAGCCAAATAGACCCAAAAGATGTTCACTTGAGAGACCTCTTCGATCACCAACGACAGAGAACACAAGCTAGTAATTGAAGGTTGTTCGATCACCCAAGTTCACAGCAGAGACAGAGCTTCAATCAACCAAGGCCTCTTCAATCTCCAATACAGGCCGTTGGGGACAAAAGAAGAGACCAAGAGAAATGAGATTGCCGTTGCGTGAGAAATAGAGATGAGAGGCAAGTTGCACGAGAGAGAGAACGACTTGACTTGACCAAGTTGGTAATCAAAACTTCAAATAGAATCAGAGAGAACTTGTCTTTTTGAGCAACTCGAAACCAGAAAACGATGAAACCAGAGAATGATTAAACCAGAGAAATATGAACCCAAAACAATGAAACTAGAGAACGATCAAAACCCTAATCGAATCACTCACACCTTGATCATATTTTTGAGAACCCTAATCATAAGAACCTTAATGAGAAGGGTAAATTACACAGACACCCCTTGACGTTAGGTCATATTTCATCTAAATGAACATTTTTGTTTTAACTTTCACTTACACCCCAATTTACTTTTTGGCCTCCGACACATGCGAATTGACTCTTTTACCCTCAATTTTTCAATACAAAATATCTGTAATCTTAAATGACAACAAGGCCCCTATATATATATATATATTCAGGCACTGTTTGTACTGGCCCAAACCATCACCGACCATGGCGATTGCAATGGCGACCGCAACCCCTTCCACTGCCAACCAAGCCACCATCGTTGTCGCCGGCATACCCAACGGCAAGCCCTCTTAGAGAATCGCATATTTCCTCCCCGATCCGAAGCGTCAACGTGATGTTTGGGACATCTCAATCGCGACCGTTGTCGAAGAGAAGAAGTCGTTAATGATGGTGGACGTTTGTCTGCTGCGACGGAACACGACCCTCACGACAGAGCTCCGAGCCAGTACCGCCACAGTCCTCACCATGGCCTACATCCTCGTCGTCAATGCCAGCATCCTCTCCGACTTTGGCACCCATCAACGTGAAGACAGCGGTCAACCAAACTGAAAAGCACCATGGACAACTACCAAATCAGACAGTGAAGAAAGACCCAACCAGTGACGCTACAAGCTCCATCACTATGCTCAAACTTACTGGAATGGCGATGCGTGAACATAACGCGCCCCTACTGTTGGTGATTGTAGATCTAACGCACCGCATGGGTTGAACGCACCAAAAATCGTGACTTCCATCACTGCAACTCCGATAGCTATTCGGGTGGCGACGGTGCCGTCAATTCAGGTGTGCAAATGGTGTCGCCTTTGAATTCTAGCAAACAGCAAGTATCTCGTCAAACTCTCCGCCACCAAATCATGCTGCGTCGAGAAGAGAGCTATTGTGGCAGTGCAGCGGAGCTGGTGGACTGAATGGCAGCTCGAGTCTTGAGATGCGATTGAATCAAAAATTGGCATGGGGATGGGGTTTTGGGTGGGGGCGATGGTGATGGAGGATTTGGTTTTTTTTTTTTTTGGGGGGGGGGGGGGGGGGGGGGGGGGGGGGGTGTGTGTGTGTGGGTGGGGGGGTTTCCTTCCCCAGCTCTTTCTAAACAAGATTGAAGGCTAGAGCTCCCCTTTTACATCGAGTTTGCCATTAGCGAGGAGGGCCAAGAGCGGGCAAGAGTTGTTTTAGGGGCGGTGGTGTATGTTGGGGGTAGTTTTGTCAATAAATATTCAAACACCCTTTTTCCAAGTCAACAGCCAGTTAAAAGGGTAACATAGTCATTTAACACCTCAAAAGCATTCCAACCCCACCAAAAACTAATATTTTCTAGACATTTAGGGTGTAAGTGAAATACTACACCAATATTCCAAATATGAGTGAAAGTTAAAACCAAAATGTTCATTTAGGTGCGACATGGTATTTCTCACTTGGAAAGACTGAGAGCCCAAATACAAGTACTTGGAACGACTGAGAACCCTAATGACCAATTGCCTTGAGAAAACGAAAGAGTTCTCTCGATCTGTGAGTGGCCACATATAGAAGGTGAGAGAGAAGGCAACCCTAGATTACACATATCAACTAGGGGCAAAAGTGACTTTTCAGAATTATTGACCAGACAACTTTAAAAATGCATTAAAAGTATAAGGGCTATATGGTAAATTCAGTGCTTCTGTTAACGGATTGGGGTGCAAGTGATACGTAACATAAACATCAAGGGGTCCGCCTGTAATTTTTGAAGCCATGAGGATACCGTGTGCAATTTATGCCGTAACGGAATTAGTTATCGCGGTTGTGAATATTTTTTTACCTCACACATAAGGCCCAAAATCCACCGATACCCAACTTTTTACCACATAATTAGACAAATATGAATTTTAGTAATTTTTATTGAATTTTTTAAGACCATTTAACACAAGTAATGACTTATTTATCAATTTCAAGTCGTCATCGTTATTCAAAAAATTAGTGATTACGAAATTAAAGAATAAAATTAAACTCAATTACACAATAAATGATAATTCATACCATATATAACATTAATGAATTAGAAACAGAAAATAACAGCCACGAAGCCATTTTCCAATTACTTGGGGTCATCGACATGAATCCCATGTTTCCATTTCGCTAAATTTACAGCCATAGCCTTGGTCAATCCACATGCTATCATATCTTTCTTCATTAACTTTACCCACGTTAACTTTGGTCTTCTCTTCCCCTAGTATTACCCTCAATGAGGATTACGTCATATATAACATTAGTGAATTAGAAACAGAAAATAACAGCCACGAAGCCATTTTCCAATTACTTGGAGTCGACTAAATGAATCCCATGTCTCCATTTCGCTAAATTTACAGCCATAGCCTCAGTTAATCCACATGCTATCATATCTTTCTTCATTAACTTTACCCACGTTAACTTTGGTCTTCCTCTTCCCCTAGTATTTACCCTCAATGAGGATTACGTCACTTTTCCTAACTAGCCCACTTAAAGGTCTTCTTTGCACATGTCCAAACCATCTTAACCTATTTTCTCTCATTTTATTTCTAATTGGTGCTACTCTAACCATCTCCGAAGTGTCATCATTTCTAATTCCATCATTTCTAGTCTTGCCGCACATCCATCTCAAATCTCAAATACGAATTTCTGCCACATGCGCTTTATTCATATGTTCCCTAGCAACATTCAGTACCATAAAGTATGGCTGGCCTAATAGCTGTTCGATAGAACTCCCTTTTCAATCGTAATGGGATACGCCTCACTACATTCTCATTTGTCTTTCTAGATTTACTAAAGTTACTCTCCATATATTCAATTTTATTTCGACTTTTATTAAGCCCTTTTAGTTCTAAAGCTAAGGTTTTTCTCCAAACCTCCAATTTGGGATTAAACAATATCGTCGGCAAATAACATACACCATGGAATCTCATCTTGGATGTGTCTTGACAGCTTATCCATAACCACAGCAAAAAGGTATGAACTTAATGCTGAGTTGCTGACCCTTGGTGTAAGCCTATAGTAATTGGAAATTCAATTGTTTTCCCTACAGGCGTTCTAACTATAGTCACACAGCCATCATACATGTCCTTTATTGTGTCAATGAATCTCTTTGTGACCCCTTTCTTTTCTAAAACCTCCATATTAGATCTCTAGGTACCCTATCATAGGCTTTCTCCAAATCAATGGAAATCTCACCTCTCTATACCTGTCCATTAGTCTCCTCAATAAGTAAATAGCCTCCACCATTGACCTACCCTGCATGAATCCAAATTGATTCTCGTCTTGGGCAGAATTAGAAACAAAAATTAAATATATAATTTGTTTATATATAAAATAAAATCATATAAAATAAATTGTTTAATGACATTTAAAACAAAAAACTAGCACCATTTATACCTTGGGATGAATCTTGGTTAGGGGGCAAAGTGATTGTTGAACTTGGAAGAGTTAATGGCCAGGTTTGATTTTTCGTAAACTCTACCTGGTGATTCGGTAGTAGTGCATCAGCTGAAGTTCTTGTTTAAATAAAAAAAACTAGCAGCATTTATATCAGATGTCCGATGTCACGCGCAGTTCAGTGGCAAAAAGACTCTCCAAGTACCTAAACTGAGGTTTGAGTCCCAACATTCTCAACTTATGGCCCATTTTTTCATTTCCATATATATATATCATAATTCAACTGAACTGGTCTGATTTTGGGCCAGTTCATGTGCGTACCAGCAATTCTGTAGAGAATCGACCCGGTTTGTATGTGCGAATTTTAATACCTATGGATAAAACGGTGAATGCCGAACGGGAGCTGCATTTCCTGTTTCGAACTGGCCTGTCTGACCGGTTCGCCAAACAATGCCAAATTCTTAAGACAAACTTTTCCAAAATGGCTTTCAAACTTTTTGCCAATTCTTCTCTCATTCTTTTTTAAATTCAGTCATCCAATTTGAATCCAAATTTGCATAATTTTTTGGTGAATTTTTTAACATGGACTAGTAGAGCATGTGTTTGCAAGAAGTACTACTAAAATGGTCACGGCATAATACGTTAAGGAGTGTTTACACATATTATAGATATATCAATAATATAAAAAAGATCACAAAAGTTCCGAGCATATTAATTGGAGACAGAAATCTGAGATATGTATCTGTACTAGTAAATTTGATATGTGATTCCACAAATGATGGAGATCAGGATGAGACCCATATGCCATGCCCACTAAGCACCTATAGGCGCAAGGGATGAATTTTCAATTTTTTTCCCCTATTTTTAGGGATTTTTAATATTTATCTTTTGGTTTATTTGGAAACATTTCTTGCTCAGCATTCGCTCATACAAGGCCTTTTATGGTTTTTTTTTTTTTTTTTTTGTTGACAAGTATACGAGGCCTTTTACGTAATGGATTCTCTAGTCTTCATTTATTATATTGTAAAGGTAACAAACCTTTGCTCATTATTTTTAAAACAATTCAAGTCCTAGTTGATATCCCATCCACAAATCCCTAATTCAACATCAGCTCTGATGACCACATGGTTTTATGTGTTTTAGATTCAGTCCAAAAGAATCTACTAACAATCAAGAATACATATACCTTCTTCATCAGAAGTTTAATGGGATTATTATGATTTATTCGAATTTGTTCTTGTTTCCTTATATTTCCATGTTAAATTTTTAGAGATTCAAGATTTATGTTAATATTTTATGAGTTTTAGTAGTGGCTGAAGGTATCTTTACTTCTGTTTTCAGAAAATAATTTCAAAGAATTGTTATCTGAAATTGGATCTTTTGTTAAATCATTTTTTACAGAATACTTTAAAAAAAATTGTTGATTAAATTAACTACTGTCCTTTTGTTTTTCTGTTATCTAAGAATAAAACATTTATGTTCTTAGAAGAGAACCAAACAGGACTTAGATTTGTAGGAGCACCTTTTTCACTAATTAAGATTAGTTTGGGCACTTTTTCGGTCATTGTTGGCAAAGTATGATAAAAATCAAGCAAAAAACTTTTGGGTAAATTCCACTGATACCCCCTGAGGTTTTAGTCAATGCCACTCAGCGGACGGTCAATGACTAGTTTTACATTGACACCCCCTGAGGTTTCAAAATTTTGCATTGAGACCCCCTCCAGACCTCTGAGAGACCATATGAAATTACCTTTTAACCCTTTGACTTGTCAACAACTCCATTTAAATCATACTTATCAAAAAAAAAAAAAAAAAACTACTCCATTTAAATCATGAAATTACAAATTCAACATCCTAACTAATTATAATGGACCAAACTAATATCTCCATCTCTTCTATACATATAGATATAGTTTATGTATAACAATACATATACCACCATAACCACCACCACATTAAGAAACCACCACCATAAACATCCGAAACGCCACCGCCACTACCACCACACCAAGACAACAACACCAATACACCCAGACGCTACCAAAACCACTACCACCACCACAACAGAAAAAAAAAAAAATTAAAATTTTTGAAACACCCGAATAACCTAGACACCATCACAACCACCCCCAAAGAACACCACAACCACCACCACCAGAGTAGGAAAAAAAAATTTAAAAACAGCCATGGCCAGCCCAGACCCACCACAACAGGGAAAAAATAAAAAATAAATAAAAAAATAAAAAACTATGTCCAACCCAGACACCACCAGGCACCAGCACAATCGAACGGAAAAAAAAAAAATTAAAAAAATTTAAAATAGCGATGGCTGTTTTAATCCTCACCATTCCCACCAATTCTCTTCTCTCCTCTCACACCTACTTTCCTTCCCTTACTCATCTCAATCACAAATCCAACACCACCACAACCACAACACCGCAACATTTTTCCCCCAAATTCTGCGAATTAACTTGCCCTAGCCGCCATCTCCTCCACCTCCAGTTACGTTTCCCTCCATCGGCCACTAATAGCTCCTCCACCAGCGAGAAGAATGACGAGGGGTGCAATTTACCCAAGAAAAAAAAAAAAAAAGAAAGGAAGGGGAATGAGAGAAAAGGAGTGTGGGCGGCTAGGTACTAAAATGAACCAAAAAAAAATAAAAAGAGTTAGATTAGGGTAGAGAAAGAGGCTTAATTATGAGGTAGTTTCGTCAATTAACATGGCTGATATTTTGTAAATTAATTAAATTAAATAATCAGGGGCAAATATGACATTTAAAACCACAACAGGGGGTGTCATTGTTAAAAAAATTGTTGACCCACATATGAGTGACATTGATTGTCCATGCAATTTAACCAAAATTTTTTACAAGAACGAACATCTAGCTACTCCTTCCACTCATTTTCTATGGGGGCACTGCCAGTACCACATACATGTGAACAGGCAAAGAACATGGGACATAAATCAAATTCTTATAGAAAGCCAAAAAACACATGGTTTGAGATTTTCTGTGACACTTAAATTGCAGCATTATTTTATACCAATAAGAATTCTACCATGCAAGTCTAAGCAAGAGGCAAAGACAAAAAGGTTACCCCAAATTAATGTCAACATAATCACAATATGGTTCCACTCGCCGTGCTGCTTCCAACAAAGTGTCTGGATCATTTGCACAGAACTGGACGAATAATGGGCGATCATCCTGCAATGTAATCAAATTTAGGGAAGTTTGAGAGGAGTGAAGACTAGTGCACTATGGAACGTAAATATTACATACAACCATTTATCAACTGCAATCATAAACAACAAATAAGTAAACCATATAAAACTAAAAACAAGAAATTTATTTTAAAAGTTCTGATGAGTAAGCTTCACTTGGATGCATAATAGTCAATTATGGGGCATTTTGACATTTCCAGTTTTGAGCAGTAGGTGAAAAGGATGGAAATCTAAGTAAAGGGACTCATGGAACTAGTGATATAACGTTCCTACAGTGTTCGACTGGTGCACTGCTGTCATCATATTGAAGCAAATGAAACACTATCACATGTGGCAGTCGGAATATACTGAAATGTTTGGTGTTCTATAAGAGACCAGTTCTCCAATCGAAAGTTCAGGCCAAACCTTGGCAAAAGAAGAAATGTTTGATGTTTTATGTTTGTTCAATTTACCAAGACTTACACTGGCCAAGAATTGATGATAGCTCATATCTCACACTATGGATCTATGATTTTATTTTTCCATTTTTTGGGTGTCTATGGATCTGATTCAATGTATTAAGGCCGAGATAATGGTAGCTCTAGACAGGGGGAGTAATTACCGGATAGGTGAGTATGAACTCCAAAATTGGTCAGCAGCAACAGAGGGAAACAAAAGTTTCACTTGAATTATAACAAAATAAGGCACATTTTTAAAAATAGAATGATTATACAACAATCACATGTTGAGTGGAAAAGCCTGCCTGCTTGACAAAAGGGAGAACAAATTACTGAAACAGAGTAGCATTACATGAAACCAAACCAGTTAAGAACTTATTCCTAGTACAGATCATCTTTTGCTAAAATCCCAATCCGTATCCTATGGTCCCACAATTTTATGATCCTGAAATAGTACATTGATCTGGATCCCACAAGATCCAAATATGGTAGAAGCCTTGTGAGATCGCAGGTATCTTGGGATGATGAATAGACTCCTAATTTCTATATCAAATATACTGTACAGCCTTGTAATATTATCATTGTGTATCTCTTGGATAAGTTAGGTAACAAGGTCCCAAGTAACATTATACAACGAAGACTGAGACCCACTTCTAGGTCCTAAATAATACAATTATATTAAAATTTCTTCCCATTTTGACTCTTCAATGGCTTTTCTGTTTTGCTTTAGATTATTCAACTGCTTTACAAATTAACATTTAAGCTGCTCTTTTTCTATTTTTGTTGTTTATTTTGCCATGACAGGTAACAAAGAAGAAGACAAAATCCCTCTCTCCCTCTCCCTCTCCCTCTCCCTCCCTCAAACACTAATCATCTCTTATATACACAAACTTCAATGCTCATTTTTTCCCCCTATTACATAGGCTCTCCTGCACTATTTTTTATTCTGAACAGCCCAAGTTTTTTAGAATAGAAAATTTAGAAAATTCTTCTTTTGTAAACTGAATATTTTCATACAATATAAGATCACAGATAAACTCGTGAGATATAGGATAGTTACCATAGGTCAGAGTACGTATGGTTTAGCTAGACCTAAAGGGTGTAAGTAGGTCTTATGGATATTAATTTGTGAATAACTAACTTCTCAAATTTTTATAAAATGCTTTGATCAATTTTTTTGTTTTATTAGTTATTGATGTGTTACAATATTAATCACAATACTTAAAGCAGTAAACAAAGTAGCACAGATACACAAGGCATTTTACATTGAAAAACCATGGGACCTAGTCTAGCCATGAACAATCCACCATAAGAAAAGTATTACACACTAGTTAAATAGGCTGTGCCCTATGAATCTCCTTATTACCTCCAACCCAGACTCACGTCACAAGATCCTCAACGATCTCCAACAAACTTGAGCACCCAAAAGCTTGCTTTAAATGGTTGTTCACTCCATCATCTTCAAATTTGCTTGGCTAATGCTTCGCTTGATTGTCTTTAACCAGATCCTTGATTTGAATCTCTTCATAACACACATATAGAAGGCTCTAAGGTAAACCCTAAATTGGATCTCAAAGTGTTCTCTCTCTAAAAACATATAAATTCTCTCACTAGATTGTAGAGATATCAAAAGTCATCTCCAAACTGATCATAACCCCATATTTATAGCCACTATAGAAGTCCTACGTAAAATAGAAAACTAAATCCACTTAAAGCTCAATTTTGAGAGAATTTCCAAAACAGTATTTCTTCGCAGGTGAATCAACCAAGTGCCCCTGGCACTGCTTCGATTGATTGACGTTTCGATCCAGCGCCACTGTCCAGGTTTCAGTCAATTGAGACTTCTATTAATACAAATTTTCTGTGAATTTTTGATTGATCGAATTTTTTTTGTTTTTGCAAAAAATTCCTGTTCAAAATTTCAATCGATCTCTTTGAAAAATAATTTGTGATGAAAGCTCTAATTTTGAGAAACATGTTCAAAACAATATTTTGAATCTCTTAAAGTTATAACTATGTCATATATGATCTATAAGTTCTAAACTTCTAAACTTACCTTAACCTTGATATGTGATTAAACTTGAGGGGTTTTTTCTTTTTTTGATAACTAAACTTGAGGGATTTTTCCTCATCTTCTTTGCTGACCCAAACCTCTCAAGACAATTGACACACACTTGAGTAGGAACTTGCCAACACGTTGACTCAATAACCTACCATTCTATCATAGTTACTGGTGTCTAGATTAAATGTAATTTATACTAATAGATTTTTAACTTGTGTGAGATGTAATGTGCTCCAGAACCATTAGGGAGAGCTTTTGGAAACTGAAATGCTCCAAATAGTCCTCCTAATTCTTCAAATTTTTCTCACTAGCCTTAAGCTTGTTAGTGTTGTAATTTTCAGATTTATTAAGATGTAAAAATTTATTTTTTTCTTTCTCATTTTGTAAAATCTTACGATGCTCACAGCCTACTAATCCTACGACTCAATCCTGAAATCTCCCTTGTCAATCCTACATTGGACCACATTTTTACAAGCTTACTATAAATCACTTCATACTTCATTTTATGTATGAAAATAAATTGTTTCACAAAGAATATAAAACATAGAGTGGAGAACTTGGATGGCAGCTAAGAATCAAAATAAATTGCTTCAATTATGTATTTTAGGTAATTACATAAACAAACATATATATATGAATCTGGGTATGAGTGAATACCTTGCAAGTAGTGAACTCTTGTGATCGATACTTCTCATTCTCGCTGAAGATGCGAGAGTGAAGCATAGGGGTATAAGCAGCCTCAGCTCCATACTTGCGACACAGCATCCGAAAAGGGAGCTCCGAATTGTCAACCATCGGAGCGACAATCAGCTTGGGCTGACCTAGCTTCTTCCAGTGAGCCCACGCTCTCTCGATCCGCGACTCGCCGGTCAAGTACCGACTCGGACTACCCAAAGAAGAAGATTGTTGTACATGTTCAAGTTCATGTTGTTCTTGTTGCTGTAGTTGGTGGTGGTCGGAGCAGAGACGGTCCTCGAGGTCTTGTGAAGGAGTTAGGGTTTCGGAAATGGAAGAGTAAGCCATGAATGGGCTGATTGGAGAGAAAACAGATATGAGAGAAGAGGTGTGTCTGGTGAAGAGAGAGAAAGTGGTGGTGGTGGAGGGGAGAGAGTGTCTCATAAGGAGGCGATGGGAACGGCTAAGCAACCCATCGCCGCCATTGAGTTGTGGTGGCGAAGTGGTGTAAATTCTAGGGTTGTGTTTGATAAGTAGGGTTAATTTGGATGGGTTAGATCCGACCCTGTTTGAAAGAGGGGCGATGCTATGCATACCTGTCAGATTCATTCCGGATCTTGACCCATTCCATCCTGGATGATACTCGTCTTAAGTTTTCGTGTCAAAGTGTCAAAATTTAACTCACACAGAATATAAACAGAACTAAAAATGTGTGCAAAAAAGAAAGTAAAAATATGCGCAAACTGCAAGTGCAGGCGAACACGGCACAGCACTAGTTTAAGATAAGGGGTAAAGTGCCAAAAAAAAAAAAAAAAAAAAAAGGGTGAACAATGGGGGTCTAGCAATTAACCGTCCAAAATTACAAAAATTTCCCCTATAAAATAAGGGGTTAAGGGTAAAAAAAAAAAACCTGTACTATGGGAGTTTTGCAATTAACCTCCCGGAACTACAAGAAATCCCCTTAAACTTTCAATTTGTTACAATTTGCCCGTTCAGACCACTGGAAAAGAAAAAAAATGATGTTGCCCTTCCTAAATTGACTTATTAACTTATTGATGTGGCAAACACAATAGATAACCAAACCCAAACAGCTCTGTATAAATACACACACACACACATACATACATACATACATACATATATATATATATATATATATATATATATATGCACTGTTCATCTTCTTCACAAGGCATCCATATGAACTCACCGCCAGCCCGTCCCCACTGGATCGATCACAACCGCTATTCTCGGCTGTCGTTCCATCACGCCAAGCACCGCCACAAGCCACTGTCGTGTCAAACCATACAATTTGGACATTTATACAATTTCTGATGACGAGGCTTTAACCAAATTTCCCCAAACATAGCTTTAATATTTATAAAGTTTTGAATAAACCTGCACAAAAGAATTAGAAAACCCACACAGAGAAACCCGACACCAACATGATCAGCATCCCTCGCGTCTCTCATCTGCACGTCCATCCTCCACGTGCCGCCATCAGCACCCATCATCGTCATCGCCAATCCTAGTCAAAGTGGTGCCACCGACCCCCTCACCTCGTTGCCGCTCTTTGCAAATTAAGATATCTCTTTGCAATTCGTTATCGGAAACCATACGCTCCTGCTGTCGAAAATTGCATCGATCATCGTCGTAACCGCCGAGCGAGAGAAAGAAAGGTGATGGCAGCCAGCGAGAGAGAGAGAGATGGGTGAAGGTGATGGCAGCCGGCGAGCGAGAGAGAGCTTGGCAGTGTAGAGCACGGTTGTGGAGATTTCGGCCGGTGGAGAGCTCGGCGGTGCAGAACAGCGACTAAAGAAGTCGCGATTCCAACGCAAATCAGAGACTGGCACAGCAACAACGAATTCGGCGTTGGCAACGGTAGCTTATGCACACCGGCGATTGATAAGAAAGCTGGTAATATGGGTTGTAGATGAACTTCGGCAATGCTCGGATGGGGGCGAGACGGCGACGGCGAGCTTTTGTAGCAGTGGGCCACGGGTTGTGGAGAGAACTCAGCCACGATAGGGTGCTTAGCAACGTGATGGCAGAGGTGAGCTTGCCTTCGGATGATGGAAATTAAGGGCATTTTAGTCCTTTCATGCATCCAAGGGCAGTATGGTCTTTTAAAATAAGTTAACTATTTTTAACGGTCAACATTCACTGGAACTTGGGCGGATAGGGTGATCTGCAACTTTTTTATATAGTTCAGGGGGTTTCTTGCATTTTTGGAAGTTCAGGGGATTAGTTGTAGGTTTCCCCAAAGTTCAAGGGGGTTCTTGCACTTAACCCTTAAAATAATTGCATAACTTAACTCTTACATTTATGGCGCAGCACTAGGTTAAAATAATTGCGTTACATTTATCTCATATGAATAAGTTTGAATTTCTCTTACCAAGTGCGTTGAATTCTTAAAATCACCATCATTTAGAGCTTTAAAGCAATTGTATTAAACCACAGTTAATGTGCCAATAGCTAAAAAAGATGTCACAACATCATTATTTATATTTGCAACATCATTACTTTCACATTTTAAGTAAAATGTTGATTCACAATTTAATTGTATTGAGCATTACCGCATTATAATGTGTCATGCAAACGTTATGTGTGTTTTAGTAAACTCTATTATATATACCATCTTTTCTCTAATATTTAATTTTATAATATCATTTTTTATTATTTCGTCACATTTAAATTTTGGTCAATCCACGAACGTTTTCTGTTAAAACAATTGATCCAAAAATTGTTGGAGATAACCAGATCTTCTCAAGCACACTAATGTTAACTTCTTCAACGTGATAACCCAAACAAAATACAGACTTTGATGCATGTATTCACTTTCCTTAAAGTATTATTTGCCCCTACTCAAATTGAGTTTACTAACAAGTTCTGTAGCAAAACACTCCCAGGATACAACAAAGTCTGAATTCCTGTAGTTAGCAATATTGAAGGAATTCCCTAAACACTCGTTGAAACTGTTATGACTAGATACAACACAACAAAGAGAACAGAAAAAGTGAATTCAGAATGTGCTGCACCATCGCTATTTATAAACTTCCAAAAGTTGCAAACCAGAAGTCACGTATCATCTGAATAATTGTAACCTATTCAGGAGGTGCAAATCAAAAGTCACGTATCATCTTAATAGTGTCACGTATCATCTGAATAGTTGCAACCTAAAACTAAAAGTCACGTGTGTATATATATATATATATATATATATATATATATATATATATATATATATATTACAATATATTCAACAATCCCCCACTATATTGTAAATATTAAGTCTCTAGTCGATGTGATATTATCGCGCATACAAGAAGGTATCTTTAGATTTAAATATGAAGAATAACGGTGGCCTTAGCTTAAACCAAGTCTCCTTTTTATTAAGACCGGAAATACCACACATATGATTCTATCCAGTTTCTATAAGATGTTCATATTTTCTTTAGCATTATTATGGCTATGTGCTCATCCTGGTTTCATAAACATTTACAAGAATAAACCCTAATAACCCTTGCTAGAAGCGGCACCACTTCTATGTTTACATGGGAGAAGTTCCAATATGTATCCCTACTACTTTAGACACTTCACGTAATTTGAACTTCTTTAAGAGTATATAACTCATCCTTAAATTGTAGTAGTCTGCACTGAACATCCTGGAAAGGACAATTTATATGTGTGTGTGTGTGTGTGTGTATATATATATATATATATATATATATATATATATATATTCAGTGCTTATATAACCACATATCAGTAACTTGTTATTACCCATTAAATTTTGGACTAGTGGTATTCTAATACAAAGTCGGATTACCATTACTGGTGATTTTAAGAAAAGGTTTCAGCTCCATTCCACTAGATGTAATTTTTACCAAATCTCTCAAGAGTCCCTTAGCAAGAGAATCTGCCAAGTTATTACTTGACTGTAATACCCCTAATTTTAAAAAGATAGTCTCGGCATTTTAATTATGGTTTTATTGCATTTTGTTTGATTAATTTTTTAATTTGTTTAATTGCTTATTTGTTTAATTATTTTATTATTTATTTAATGTAATTGTTTAATTGTGTATTTAATTACATTATTTGGTTAATTGGTTGTTTAATTGAATGAATTGTATTTTTATTTTCTTTATTGGAATTACTTATTTTAATTGGTTAAATGGTTTATTAATTTAGTTAATTGGATTCAATTAGGGTTATAAGTTATAATGTTAAAATTAGGTTTTATTCTTTTAGAAATTACGTATGGGCCGACTAGGGTTCAGTTTAGGGTTTTAATTGGACTTAGGTTTTATAATTGCCTATAAATATATATGTCATACGTCTGCCTAGTGTTTTAGAACCCTATTCGTGGCACAGTAAAGGCAGAGCAACATAACAGAGACTTATGAGAAAATAGAGCAAGTTCGGTGAGGGTTTCGGCTATGGCTTAAAGGTCGGACCTAGGAGGAGGGAAGGCTGAGTAGTAGGAGGTTGAGTTGACAGTAAATGGATGTCATCGGAAAGCTTAAGAAGATGACGACAAGGTTTTGATTCCAAAACGACACAGGCAAGTTCTATTCTGTCTCTCTCCCCTTGGCTGTGTTCTATGCATACCTAGATGGTCTCTAGGGTTTTAATTAAACATTAACTGAATCTTGCATGCTTAGTTTATGTTAAATTAATTGACTGTATGTATTTTAATTTAATCTGTAACTGTTCTTGCAAGTTAGAGTTCGTTGCCTGTTTTAAAGTATAATGAATCGGTGGTTTTCCTAATTGTTGTTATCAGTTCCTACTATTGTAAACAAATGAGTGGGATGCTACTGGGTATAAATTAGACTCTTAGGTTCAGTATTAATGAAGAACAAAAGGGTTGGAAGTGGCCGAAGATGAAGCAGATGGTCAGAAACGGATCAGAAACGGATTAGGGCTCTCAAAGAGGGAGAGAGCCAGCTCCATAGAAGAGGGAGCCGGCTCCCTCAAGTGCAGAGCTGGCTCTAGGGGTTTAGAGCGGACTCCTACCCCTCTAGAGCCGGCTCTAAGGTGCGGATATTAATGAGAGTTCTATATTTTGAATTTCTGGATTCTGGAATGGTTTTGGGCACTGTTTGGACAATTTGGGTTTTACGAACTGTTTGGAATATTAATGAGAGTTCTATTTATTAATTCAAAGTGTATTGAAACCCTAGGAGGCATAATTTATCTCTATATGCTAGTGGTTTTCACAATGCGGAAGTTTTAACAATGTCGCACACTGTTGATGGATATAAAACATTTATTTGCCTAAACTTATTTTAGCAACTTAGATGACTAGAGTATAATTTCTAAATTTATTTTGGATGCATAATAGAGTCTTTTACATATTAGATTTTGTTATGGTTCTCTTGGATTTTAATTGATGAATTAATAAAATTTATTTTGTCAATTATATGGAAGTTTCCCTGGATTTTAATTGATGAATTAATAAAATATATTCTGTCAATTACATGGAAGTTAACCTGGATTTTAATTGAGGAATCATTAAATTATATTATGTCAATTACCTGGATTTAGGTGTTGGAATTTAATTGCTGAATTTTTATATTAAATTTTGTCAATTGTATGGATGTTGTGAATTGTATGCACCG